AAAAAATATTCAATTAATTTAAAATTTTTATTTAAATATTACAGACGGAATCATCAACGAATTGAAAAATCATCGGTGATTGTTGGTGGTTTCTGAAAACTTTTTATGAAATTAAAAATTTAAATTAAATATTACAGATAAAATTACCAACAGAATAATTAAAAAATATTAATATTTAATTATCTTTCAGTAAAATCATTGGTAACACGTCCCAATAAAAAGTCTAAATCCTTTTATTTTATAAGAGACAGACTTATTTGTTATTCTTCTTCTACTACTACTATTTTTTCTTCTTCTTTTTTTCTATATTTAAAAAATAATAATAATTTATGCATGCTTATGCTAACTGCATTACTTTCATACAGCAACATGACATCAACAATTTAAAATTTATGCATGACAAAATAGTTTCATCATGTAATATTAACATCAATAACAATAATAATAATACCTATCTAGATATGGAAAAGCAACACTACCGTCGCTTAATTCTACACAATTCACCATTAATATATAGGAGAAAGTAAAGAGACATTGACTGGTAATGCTTAAAGGCTATTACCTCTCACTTTCATTAGTTTTGTAATTTAGCAATTATGGTGAATCCATTATGTATGTGTTTGCAGGTTATCCCTTAATTGTACTCCTACCTTTCTTTATCATTATTAATTATTTTATATTCTAGGTAAACCAAATCTTCACAGTTTATGTGGCAGAATTAGCAGAGTATATGAGAAATTTGGTTAATAATCGAAGATTTTCACTTAAAAAAAATTCAAGAATAAAGATATATTTATTTGTTATGTTTTATAAATATTATCTCCATTTAACAAAAGCTCTTAAGTGCACAAGTAAATAAACTGGAGTGTGAATTTTAGAAAATTAGATCCACCGTTCAATTTGCTGCGTGAAGTGTCTAACCGAGCACAACATTTTGATCAATGGAGTATTATTTGTTCAGTGTATAGCACCAAAGTTGGGAAGAATCATATCCCAAACTCAGTGGACCCCAGATAAGATGCGGGCATAAGAACGCTGGCCATTAAAGGATGCTAAAGACTTGGACGACGACAATGGTGTTCGAATAAGATTCAAAATGAGCAGGATTTTACACAGACTGTGTGAAGTTGAAATGATCTCAGCAAAGATGACTCCCCCCATGTTTTAATTGATGACATCATAGGCGAAACAAACTTTGGTTAAGGAACGCTGATAGAGCCTTAAGTATCTTATTAGGGGATTGGCAACCCTTTACATTCGGATTCTTGAATGGATTTTCATGGGCATCACTAGGCTTTGTCTCTACTCTCCCGGTGCACGGCACCTTAAAGAGTTTATTTCGGTGATTTGTGTTTATTTTAATTAATTTTATAAATTTTAAAATTAATAATTATATAAGTTTTTAGTGATATTAAAAAAATTTAAACTTATAACTATTAAAAAATAAATTTAAAATCTAACTAGTTAAACTATTCTTCAACAAAGGTGGCTGCCAACTCCAACTCTTCTTCAACAATGGTGGCTGCCAACCTTTGACATCTTGGATGAGTGCACATGGTTGGTGCAATAGCAAATGGTTGTTGCACATTAATGGCAACCAACCTAACACCCTATTCTACACTCTCTTTTTTCCTTTCCTTTGATACTAGGACAAGTTTATATATATTGATTTATTACTCTCGATTCTAAAATTAATAATTATATAAATTTATGTTAGTTTTAAGATTTATAATATTAAAATTAATAAAGTTTTTTAAAAATAAATTTAAAATCTAACTAGTTAAACTATATCTCTCAAATTTAATTCTTTTTTAGAATGATTGTAGGGGGTGTTATATAGTCTGAGTTTGAGATTAAAATTTCAACCGAACTGATAAATAAAGTTTTCTAAAAAATATATCTCAAAATCAATTTTTGAAGTTTGAACTGAAAAATATATTACTGTATGTTATATATCTATTAAAAAAAAGTCAACTTTCTATTTCTACCCATTTCGAAGCGTTACATTAAACAACCCGTGGAAACAGATCAATAATAAGAATTCAAATCATAGCTAAGCTATTGATTTTTTCTTTTATTTTAACAAATGCCAATGAAGATTTAATCGTCTGTTTCTCTATAGATAAATAAGTTTATTATCTCTATCTGATAACGAGAGAGAATGCAATGGAAGACGAGGAGACGGAGAGATGGCATAGAATGTATTATGCAAGTACCTCTCAAGTTTCAACAGGAGAGAACGTAACCATAAAAACTACTCGGAGAAAAAAATAAAAAAAATAACCTTAACAAAATGACAAAAAAAAATAAAAATAAAATTGAAAAAAATAGGTCATTTAATCATACTGAAAAGAATTGAATGATTAATAGATCGCCATTGAGTGTTTTTAGAAAGGGAAAAATTATAATATTATAGTGAAAAGTGAATTATATACGTGTACAGTGAACTTGAGCTTTACTTTTTTTGTGATGACCTGATGGTGACACAAGTGCTTCCACGTAAGAGGTTAATGACTCGACTGTTAACACCATGATGCATTTTTCAATTTTTTACCAAGTAAATGACACGTCTGCTTGGGGGATGATCCTTGTCACTAATATTTAGAAAAGTTAATGACACGTCTTTGGTAGGGTTGACTCATGTTAGATTGGCTCAAACTGATTAGATCATTGGTTTAAGTTGGTTCGACAAGTTTTCATCAAGCCCATTTCTTAAAAAATCCAAGTTGAGAACCAAACCTGGGTCAATTGTGTAAACAATAAAACGATGTGTTTTTGGCATGCTGTGGAAAGGAATGCTACAAAATATATTATTAACATGAAAGAGATATCTTTTATGGAAATCTCAAATTTTATGGAATATTCCACACACATTTATATATATATATATATATATATATATATATAATTTGAATTTAAGAAATGTGTTTTATGTTTATGAAAAATAACACAACTTTTTAGGGAAAATTCATTTAAATCATAGAAACGAAGATCGCACTGAATTAGCTAGCTTTTCAGACACTGCCCTCGGTGGACTATGACCAAGCAGACCCTAAAACTTATCCAAATGGATCCGCATTGTACTTGGAGATTTCATGAGTTGTTTCGAAACTAAAAAAGTGGAAACAAACACAAATATGTTTTTATTAGACAAATGACATAATATTTGTGTGGAAAGGCAGCTTGAACCAACCGACAAACAGGGAGAAGCATGAGTTTTTAGTTTTCTTGGCTTGGAATTGAAGGGATATGAATAGGCATGGCAGTTAGAACCACTACTCTCTTCCCCTTTCACTCCCTCACTCACCACTCTCTCTTTCTCCCACAGACGTACGGACCTAAGCTCCTTGGTTTGTTTGACCGGTGGCGCCACCACCACAATGTAATAGAAAAAGTCTCTAGCCCTCTTAACCTCCCACCACTTGGCACCATATTCTCAACTATTATTTACTCTTACCTCTCTCTAAACCATGGCTATATCTAGAAGCTAGGTCTGGCTAGCACTCCTCTTAACCATACAACCCTACAGCAAGTTGCGCTACGAGAACAAACTTCGCCCCATTCGATCTCTTACACCATTAGTTAACCTCACTTCATTGATTAATATTCATTAATTCTTTCTCTCTTAGTTTTTCATTTCTTTCGTTTATTGTTTTTTGTTTCCCACTTTATATGGCTTTGCTTGTGGATCAACAACCAAACTTCAAGCACTTTTGTAAAATATGCAAGAAAGGATTTATGTGTGGAAGAGCACTAGGAGGGCACATGAGAGCACACGGAATAGGTGATGAGAATGTCAACATGGAAGATGAAGATCCTGCTAGTGACTGGGAAGATAAGTTGGGAGCCACCGTGCCCCCTGGAACCAGGCGTATGTATGCGTTAAGAACGAATCCAAATCGATTAAAGAGCTGTCGGGTTTGTGAAAATTGTGGCAAAGAATTCTTGTCATGGAAGTCTTTTCTTGAACATGGAAGATGCACGTCCGAGGATGCAGATCAATTGCTTGTTTCCTCTCCAGGATCGGACGAGGAGGGTGGAACTCCAAGAAGGGACTGCTGTTGGTCTAAAAGAAAACGATCATTGAGAGCTAAAGTTGGCAATTTTAACTCCAGCTGCCCGTCAAGCGAAGAGGAAGATCTTGCTAATTGCCTCATGATGCTATCTAATGCAACAGTTGATCCCTTAGAAGCCGAGCCTGAGGAGTCTTGTGCATCTGCTAGTAAAGAAGAAGAGCGAAGAAATCCGTTGAATTTTATGGCTAATGTGGAATACAAGCCACCATTAGACAAGGCCAAGGTGATTGCTAAAGGAATGTTTGAATGCAAAGCATGCAAGAAAGTTTTCAATTCACATCAAGCATTGGGTGGACATAGAGCTAGCCACAAGAAGGTTAAAGGATGCTATGCAGCCCGGCTTGATCAGGGAATGGAAGATAGCCTAGCTGATCATGATGAAGATTTCATCACAAATGATGAATTCTTTTCAACAAAATCGACATCGACTTTGCAATTCGATCATGGTTCAACTCCTCCATTGGCTTCCACTTCGAAAAGGAAATCCAAAGTGCACGAATGTTCCATATGTCATCGTGTATTTTCATCCGGACAAGCATTAGGTGGCCATAAAAGGTGTCATTGGCTCATTTCAAATTCTCCAGACACTTCATCTTTCCCCAAGTTCCATCAATTTCAGGATCACTTGGACCAAATTCAACGACGACCGAAGTTTATCAACAATTCTGAGCCATTAGATCTCACACTTGATCTCAATCTTCCTGCTCATCCACCTGTTGCAGACCCTTCAAATATTGAGGTTTCTACTGAGATTTACCTACAGCCTTGGACGAGAGTTGATGCAAAAGTAAAGGACGACAACAATCATCGGCACCAAAATGAAAAGGATCATCGTGACACCAAAGACAACAATAACGATGATAATAATAATAATTATAGTTCAGTCCAGAATGTGAATGATGAAGCAGATAGTAAGGTGAAGTTAGCAAAACTTAGTGAATTAAAAGGCATGAGCACTAGTGGAAGTTCATCTCCATGGTTGCAGGTGGGAATTGGTTCAACTACTGATGTGAGGGCTGACCAGTTATAAAGTCTTGAGACCCAACACGGGCCGGGTTTCAAGTTTTTCTTTTCTTCTTTTTTCATTTGTCCAATTTTGTATTTAAAAACTGTAATTACAAGAAAATTTTGTAACTATAATTGTTACACCAATCACTGCAATTATGTGTTCATTGGGCTGGTAATGTGGCGCCCTTCAAATAATTTTTGCCTTTTGTTGGTACATCGATGAACAGGTGTGGAAATGAATTAAATTAACAATTTTAATTGTATTTCTTTTACAAGAATCATTCTTTGCTCCAGTTAATTTCATGGCAGACCCTTTGTATTTCTTAGTTTTCTGTCTTATATTGATTCTAGCTGCAACTGCCCATAATCTTCAATCCAATGAAGATGGATACATCTCTCTAGTATTATCCAGCAAAGGAGTTGACTTTGCTGAAGATATACTGATAAACAAGGCACAGTATCCACCATAATCCCACTTCAACTACCTGATATTAAAACGTCTGTCAAAATCCCACTGATTGGCAAAGTACAATTTTAGCGTCGATATTTCTTCTTCGAATGTTGAAACTAGAAACCCGGGTTTTGTCCTTGTTGCTTGAGGTGCTGCTGCCAGCCTGAGCTTGAAATGGGCTTTACTCTTATTGCACCTGGTTGCTTGTCATTTCAGACAGCAGATATGCTTTAGTTCAGCTACCTATATATGGCACAGAAGTTTATTTATTTACGTCTTTTTTCCCATTACATGTGTGTTTTTTTTCAAGTCAACACAAGTACTTGGATTCGGTAAAATATGAAATGGTAAAGAGTAGTTATAGGGGTTTTGACAGAAAAGAAAAGGGTATTTTTAGAATTTTATTATTTGAAAATTACCGTAATAAATTAGAGCATCTTCTTTCTTATTTGCTTTTACTATTTTTTATTATTTAAATTATATTTGAAGTTCATTTTAATATCTCCAGAAGAATTTTATTAAATTTTCTATTAGTTTTTTTATTAAATTTTATTTAAATCAATGTTATTTTTAGAACATAAAACGTGCATATTAGACAAATCATTTAAAGAATTGGTAAATGCCAGAGTTGATAAATGTGGGAGATATTTGAGGTTTAATCTATAAAATTTATAAATCCGGTACTACGCTGAGTTCATTTTCCAAAGCTTAAAGAAATCATCGGAATTAAGTTCATTTCCCTATACGGTCAAAAGAAACCACCCTATTAGATCTAGCATATTCTTGAGAATTTCATTTCTCACGACCGAATCTAAAGTTCGAAACATAAAGAAAATAAAAATAGCTCTTGTTTAAATTGATTTGTTGCTGGGATCGGAACATGATGGAAGGTATATCAATCTCGAGGGTTGGTGAGTCCTAAATCAAATTTCTTAATCAATCTGTAAGAACTGTCCTATTAAAAAAAAAAAAACTAAAAATAGCAAGAAAGAAGACCTTAATTGCTTATATATATATATATAAAAGAAGACGACGAAGAAGACTTGCAAATGAACGATGGAATCGTGTATGAAGACACAATTAATTATTCCACTGCGCAACTTGTCCACCATCATGTAATTTGAAGATATGCCGTGCTTAAAAAGTATTAGAATAAATGATCATAAAGATTTGCACAATATATCTTGACATAACAATCAAGATTATTTGCCAAGAATAACAGTACATGGTATCTCTGACCTGGTAATAAGTTCAATTGAGGAAAACATGCTAGAACTCACTACGAACAGCCACCACTCCTCCACCTCAGGAGTAACCAATCTGTTACCGCCAATGGAATCGAATACTTTGTTATATAAATCCTCTCTGCTAAGTTAACCGACATTTCAACAGGTTAAATGTTGGAGAACGCAGCTCTGCTAAGTTAACCGACATTTCAACAGGATAGATGCCGGAGAGTGCAGTAAAAATTATTTTTTAAAATAATTTTTACTTGATAATATATTAAAATAATATTTTTTATTTTAAAAGAATATTTTTAATATTTATACTTTAAAACAAACAAAAAATAATTAAAAAATAATAAAATTTAAAATTTAAAATTAAAGTATTCCAAACATATCTTTAATTAGTAACTCCCATATAAATGTATTTATAATTTGGTTTGATTTAGTTTAAACTAAAATATCTAACCAAATCAAAAAATATTATTTTTAAAAATATAACTTGAATCGAACCGAATACTAGTTTGCTTTGGTTAAAATTAATTTTTAAAAAAAAATAAAAAAAAATAAAAATATATTCTCAAATAACACCCATTTTCAATGGGTGAATCTTAATGTAAAATCAGGAAAACTGATTTGAAGTTTAGAACAATACAAGATTAATGGATTCTTCGTGCCTTCTCTACTCGTCGCCCTCCTTATCTTGGAGTTAGAATCTTCCAATAAAGTACATGCCACTAAAAACTTTGGCTATAAATACTCGATTGTGTTTCCAGCACTTGCAACCATGTTTTGGCATGTTGATTGGGCACCCTGCCCTAGCTAGCTAGCTAGCTCTTCCTTCAACTATGCAGGGATCAGCTCCGAATAGGATCGTTAAGATGTACCAAATAAAAATAAGGTATTCTTTCACTTAACAATCGATGCTCTTGACAGCAATAAAGTGTAGCCGTTTTGTTGGACTGGGGGAGTAGTGAATGATTCTCCATTTTGCTGTTGTAGGATTTGGCAACATTTTAGAGTTGCTGGATAGTATTTCCATTAGTTCAAATCACCTTGTAAATTGTAACCACGTTTGTCAATTTATGGTAGGCCTGTTGAAAACATTAAGTTGCTTGTAGTACTTCCACTGTCGGATACAGCTCAACCCATAAAAATTGTGCAATTTAGATAAAATAGCTCACAATAATAGGTTAAAAACTCTATGAAATGGATATTTTAGAAACTTAGTTAACGCATGATTTGTTAGCACTTAAATCACAACTACGAGGTTGCGGGTTCAAGTGCGCTAGCACTGTTATTTTCAGATAGAGGACTTGTCATTTGAGTCTTTTTTGAAAAATAAAAGGCGTACATCCCCTTAATAAAAAAATAAAACAAGGAGCCTAAATTTGCTAGGCCAAGTGCTAGGGTTGGCCTCTTTTTTTATTTTTCCTTTTTTAAAAAAATGTTTTTTTTTGGCACTCTAAACAAATATTTATTAGATTACTCTATTTTTCAGTTTTGATATAGTTTTTAAATATTATTATAATTTTTTATTTGAATTTTAATAATTTTTTAAATTATTTTTTTCTAATATGAAAATAACAATACTAATAATAAATTGTTTATGAAGATTAGACTCAAATGATTTTGTATTCTTAACATTTTTAAATAGGTTTTGAAAATAATTTTATTACATTTATAATTTTTTTTAGTTTTCAAATATACTATTTTAATATTTTTTATTAATTGCCTTTAACAATCATAAACTAATTATGTTTTAGGAGAAACAATGATTCATATAAAAACATTACACTTGTTAAGATAAATAAAAGATAGTCAACAGAAAAATTATTTTGATCGAAGACAAAATCAATCGACTATATTTTCTTATATAATAATAATACTAAAGAATTTCTCGAGACCTGAATATTTTTTTATATTTAAAATTTTTTTATCCTAATAATGTAACACTTTAGTGCTCGTTCAGGGTTGTATTTGCTCCGAAATTTCAGCGTACTTTCAACAATATACTCCTAAACCTGGCTTTAGATGGGTGGACGCCTTGGCCCTCTCGCTCCAGCAGAATTCTCAATTATTTGGTGGCCTTCTTATCAAGCAACAGTTGAAATTATGAATGACTCGGAATTCAAAACTCTGGTGCAAGGATACTATTTCCTGGTTAGCGAGGGCCCATCAATCCCATCTCAGCCCCGGTCCATCATAACTAGCTTTTAACCTCTCTAATTTTTTTTACACCAAGCTTAAATCAAATCCGATTTGTGAATGCATAATTTGATTTAAATCCTAGAAGGTTAGCGTATTGCTTAAATTTAAGAATGTATGCTCTGTTTTTTTATTAAAATTCAAATTTAAAATGTGCAAAGTAATTTTTTTATAAATTTTGAATCCAATATAAGTATAAATATGAGACAGTTCAACACGCCAAATAATAATAAAACGTCAAGAAAGAAATGGCTGCTTGGTTTAGTATACATGTACAAATGATCCAGCTATATATAGTCTATATGAATATTATCAGATACCATGAAAACCAGCCTTTTGGAAATAAGTTTTGAAAAGTGCTTTCCGTTTCATGGCGGCAGGTGCTTTTCGCAGTTTGCGTACCATTGCCACCGATAAAAAAGAAAAGCAAGAACAAATCCCCGGGTATTGGTGACTTTACAACCTTTATCTCATTCAGTCCCTTCACTCTTTAAATTCTCTTAATATGGTTTCTCTAGTTTTATTTTTATTATTTTCATCCCTGTACTTTTGGTCTGTTGAAATGTAGTCCCTCTATCACTAATATTGTTATCTTACAATAATTCAAGTCAAATTCTCTTATTTTAATCTCGAATTGACCGAAAAGGAAAGGCATTAGAGGTGGAGGGAGCACATGCTCGAGAAGCCAAGAGTAGAAGGACATGTCTAAGCAAAATTTAATAGCAGAATAGACGATTTACTCATTGACCCGTTCTAATTGTATTTTTTTTTTATCGAATTTACCTGTCGTGCAATAATCTTTCAAGGCAATAATCATGAAAGAAGCTTTTTTTTTTTTCGTGGAAGGACCCATGTTTTTTAATGCTTCATGGACTCCTGAAGTCTAATATCATATTAATTAATTTGTTAATTCAATGAGATTATAGTTAAACCCCGTTTAGAATCATGGTGGTTGAGCATAATTTTCTTTTTAAAAAAATAAGGGCCAATTAATAGCAACATGCTTTAGGAGGTTACCTGACCGATCCTCCAAGCATATCTTTAGAAGCTTAAACAAATGAATCTATCCCAAACAGTTGACCACAGGCTCTTCTCTTGAAAATGATCAAAAACCTTTCTGGCAATGGACTAGCGAGCAGACTTTCTTCAGAGTAATTATGAGGCCTTCTACTTAATCATATATGTTTAAATTGTACCTACTTCATCTCTCAACCAAAAGAGGGACCTCGCATGATCACAATGAGATTTCGAAGATCTAAAGTTGTTAGTGTGCTGCATAAAGTGTTCAAGGTTCCTAGCAT